AATTTATTTGTCAGATTAGCATAGCATTGTACTACGACGCAGTTTACGAATATTCCGAACCGAGAATATTACGAACAGAAACCTCAACGGAGTAAAGTGAATAATACCGTATACCATAGAGAAGACAGTAAACGAAGTAAATATATGTAGAGAAGTCGCGGACGGCTTGCGTATATATTTCGATTTCGCATATTACCTCATCTCCTGTTATATAGGTAAGAAAAAGAGCAATATATTTTTCTGTAAAATTTTCCTTGCTAAGCAACGAACAATTAATGAGTAAAATTAAGGCTAGTATACATAGTCGGTTCTTATTTCAAGACAATGGCTTAAGGTTGATAATATATACGGCTCTGTTATATCTAACAATCGAGTGATTAGTTTATAACATCTCTCTCTCTCTTAAGATTACTCCAGCCGGCCTTAAATATAAAAGATCCGACAATGAAATACTACCCTACAACTTTATTAAGTGTTCCATTAAGATCTGCTGTGAGAAATTGATCAATCACAATCGAATGTGAGGAAAATAATTAACTATGATTGATTAATTTCTTAGGACTTAAGGATTACTACATATATCTTAAGGATTACTAATTATATATCTTCAGCTTATTTTCTTAATTGTTGCAATTTGAAGTGTTATCGAATTAGAAGATTGCAAAGAAATTAATTAAATTAGGGACATCGCGGTGCGGTGTAGTACAGGAGGTGAGATTTATTGCTAAAAGAAAATCATTTAAATCCTTTTTTATTTTTGAAATAGCAAGTAGACTGTTCATGACGTTCAGATATTCTATCAAATCCATTATTGAAATTAATTAATCTGCAATCATCTGACGACGATGAAATTCTATCGTTTCTCTTCGAAATTTTCTCGTCTTTTTCGTCTCGCATATAATTTATTATATTTCATGTCGTGGCTTTCAATCATTGACGTTAACATTTATGATGATTTGGCTACAGCCATCCGGACGTGTAGTCCAAACACCGAAATCAACCCCCACCCCGCCGTGTATATACGTTGTTAGGGTTTCCATTCTACACAAACGAAGCAATTGTATTAATCGAATACAACGCGACATTAATATCGATTATTAATACATACATTGTACTTTAAATTTTAAAAATGAAGTCTTAATTTAATTAATTTTTTGAATTATCTTTGAAGTTGGTTAAAATACTTTTCTCTTATTGTATACCTGTATTGTATATTGCATTTATTTTTCAAGTTCAGCAAGTAGACTAAAATTTGTTTTTGACGTTAAAACATTTTAAATATTAGTGATATTGACTTCTATCCATAAAAAATGACACACACTATCAACATATATGCCTCATCGACAAATAAAGGAGACATCCTCTTTCTAGACTTAATTACTGGTGAGATAATCTTTAATACGGATCTTGATAGCTGATTCTTTTCTTTTATATACATATATATATGTGTGTGTGTAACAAGGCCTATTATTTTTACAGTTATACGAAGTGCAATTCTTTGCGGCGACAACTCTGCACGTAAAGATATCCAAGCAGTGGAATGAAGTGCTTGAAGCTGAGCATCCATTGTTAAGGGAACGTTCTTTCAATAGTGTGAAGAGACCCAACATCACTTTGCATCCTTATAAAGCTTTGTCAAGCGGTAATACATCATTCCCTGTGTTATTTAAGAAAAGAAGAGCATACCATAAATAAGAAAATGGACCTCCTTTTGTTAATTATTTAACATGTACTGTTTTCAGTTAGCCGTGTTTGTGGCCAGCGTTTAGAGTTCAGAAAACAGGGAATAGGATAGGAGCGTAGTCGACGAATTGCTCGACATGTCACCTTATGATTCTCTTCCATCTGCGTTAGAATTATTGTTTTGTGTGCTCTCAGTGCTTCCTGTTGAACCGGTAAAATATAACAATCACCCCACCACCACCACCATCATCATTAACCGTCGTTTATAAAAAAGAGGCCGCAAGAGGACGAGCGACAAATGATATTGACTGGTTAGTAAAAAAAAATACAGTTTATCGATTTAGGATTAATAGATTTAAATACAATAAGATTTATTCTTTCTGAAAAGAGGAGTCGGGTTTGTTGCTACTTATGTACTGCATATTGCAATGTATAAAATACATTTATAATTAAAAAATGTGTTTTGCTTACTGAATGTACCTGTTACTAAAGGTTACTTTTTTTTTTTTTTTTATCAGGTTTAGTCGTAATGGCGAAGCTCGCCGAAGAGCCGCTGGAAACGGAAGACATTCTAACGATTTGTTGGGAGCAGAGTCAACACAAGTACACAGAGAGAAGATTACTAGCTGTTGAATGTTGCTCCTACATACCAATATCAGCTGCTGTTAGAAACTCGTTGATGCTGTCAATGCGCTTCCGGAGTAGTACTACCGGAACTGAGGCATCTCAAAACGTTGGTAAATCAATGCCTACCTCAGCAAGAAGATGCAGTGCGTTTCTTGCTCAGAGAAGCGGAGTGCAGGCAGTATTTACTGAATGAAGCCAATA